TGTTGAGCACTTACAATGAGCAGACAATTTTCTCTGTTGGACATACTGCATACAATTCAGGGAAAAGTTTGTGCCCTTGTGGAGTTGACATTCTATGTCAGGAATGTAGACAAGGAATGAGGTAAATAGTAAGTTGCTTTTCTGTGGGATGACCAGAACTATGGAGAAAAATAAAACAGGAAGAAGGCAGAGCATGAGTGTGGTAGAGGGACACAAGACCTCACCAAGAAGGTGCCTTGGCATTCCCTTGCCAGAAGGGATGGGGGAGCAAAGGCTGCATATATCTAGGGGACAGCTAATCCCCAGGCCCCAGAGGAAGGGAGCTCGGTGTATTGAGGCCACTGTGGCTGGTGCAGAGAGGAGACAGGAACAGCAGGAGGTGGGGGGGGGTGCAGGGAGCAGATCTTCTATACACATCAAGGCTTGATGAGAGGCAGTGTTTCATCACCATCTGGAAAGACAAGTCCTATGAAGTGAGTGGAGATGGCATGTCCAGGTACCACCATTGTTTGAGGTGCCTTGGTACCCAATGCCCACATGGAGGAAGGAGAGATGAGCTGGGAAAAGAAAGCAGAACCCAGCCAGGAGGGCCCCACATGTCTTTGACCCAGACCTTATCAAGGATGCCTGTGGCCTCCATTTTGCTAAATGCAATGACATTTTCTCTGACCACATTCACCCAGCAGCAGCTTTGGACCAGATTAGCCACTCTTGCTTATAACACTTTGCTTCTAGACTTTATGTCCTCTGGGTTCTTCTCATTTTCTTCGTTGGATCCTCCTGCCCATCTTGGAAATGTTTCAGTGCCTGGCCAGCTCCTCTCTCTGCAGGTTCCAATACATGTGGTAAGATGCTCACCTATGACATATGCCACATGTCCTTATACCCTGCCTGGAGTGTGAGACTGCCTGATCCTGTGTGCTGAGGGACTGACTCTGCTCTACCAGGATGAACCCCTCACTCAGTGGTTTGAGAGGCTAGAGAGTGGGAAGGCTTGTGAGCTGTCCCCACTCGGGTCTCAAGTGAAGGGCAGTGGGCTTCAAGAGAACTTCCAGGAAAGCTACCACTTGTGCCCTGGAGTCTAGAGTGTGATGCTGATGTTCACCAAAAGAAGTCTAAAGGCCTGGGAATGAGGCTGGAGTGGCTCATCTGTGAGCAGAGCCCACAGCTGCATAAGGAAAGGGCTGTCCTTCTGCCCTGCAGGACACAGCTGTCTGGGCCTGGTGGACAATGGGAGAGCTGACTGGAGTTATCTTTAGGGCACTTGCCCAGGAAGACCTTTGGGAAGGTCTGTCCTGAGGCCCAGGGATGAGGAAGAAGATGCCCAGCTGGAAGAGGCATTCTCTTGACCATAGGATGATAGTCCGAGGTCTCCAGAGTTAGTTAGGATCTCTGCAGAATCCTCAGAAGTGCCCCAGGGAGGAAGAACCAGCTCTTGGGTGTCTGCCAGGTCAGGGCAGCAACAGTAGATCATTGCCGGCCCCTGTGCCTAACCTTGGGAGGGTTAGAGAGAAGGGAATAGGAGAGGAGGAGCTAGAAAGTGGGGAGAAAGAGGGAGAAAGAACCTCTGGCCTCCCATACTCTTTCTGGCCCGGTGAGGGGTTAGCTTCGCTTCGAGTAGGATACAAGTTGGGAGTTTGGGTGTCCACACAGGGTTGGGCTGGACTGGAGTTATTTGATTTGTGGACTGAGCTGGACTCCACCAAAACAAAGTGCCTGCCTGTRTCTGTGAATGAGTAGAAAAACTCTTAAGACTTACCTGAAATTTCATCCTGGGGTGGAAGAAAATAGCTGACAGGTGAGGCTGAAGGGATAGAGAGGAAGAAGTGGATTGATCAGTAAACCATGTACACCAGCACCACGTAGCAGGACCAGAGCTTGTTTCTGGACATCAAGACACAGTCCAGCAGACTCTGGAGGCCTGTTGAGGAGAACCAGGGAGTTCCGTGGCTGGGCAGTGAGACCTTGGCTTGAGTACAGGTGGGTCCTTAAGCGGACGGACTGCCAACATCTGCAGCCAGAAGCAGCAGGTGGCTTGGGAGGCTAGGGCAARCTCGTGCAGTCTCTGGCCCTTTGGCATGTCTGACAGGAGTAGCAGTAGGCTGCTCAGGAGCAGGTGAGGGTTCCTGGGGAGGGTGGGGAGGTAGCCCACATGCTGAACCCGAAGTGGTGAGCAGTGGGATTAACCCTTTATTTCCTCTCAGAGAAAGCCCTTTATAGGCAAACGGCCAGATTGAATTAGGCTGACTTGGACTTAGGGTCTTCCCCTGGGGACTCCAGGGACATCRTCATGATGTTGGTTTGAGGTATGAGGAGAGATCTGGTGTAGGGGTCTAGAAGGGCTGAGCAATGGCAACAGGTTTAACAAAGTCCCCAGAGGAGGAAGGCAACTCAGATACCTCTCATGCATCAAGGTTGACTCTCTCCATAGATGCCAGCAACCCCTTGTCAGAAGACCYCATGGGCTCTGCTCTGAGGGGCATCTGTGGGGCCACCACATGGGTGACTATGCTAAGCAGGATTTATGTTTTCCTGGTGCCTGTATGCCATCCATTGAAAAGAGGTGTCTGTGGACACTGCTCCTGGCTCCCTGGTCTTGGAGATGTCATTCCGGAAGTCCTTTTCTGGTAGAGCCCGGTGAGAGAGTGACAGCACAAGGGCTTCTGCCCTAAAGATCAGATACCTGCCATCTTGGGGGCAAGGAGATTGACTCATCCGGGGGATTTTGGCCCGAGCCTTAGGCCTACCAAGCCTCCAGCTTGGCTGCTCTGTGTAGAGGGGACTGGGTGTAACGGGTCTTCCAGGCTCCAGGCCTGGGCAGAGACTCAGGAGTCCTGACACTTTGCTTTTTCACTAGGGAGGCTTGAGATGAAAACCAAGCTGTGAGATGACGATAGTTTAGGGCTAGAAGAGATGATGTCGGAGGGAGATCAACCTGACCCCCACACCATCGTCTTCTCTCTCCAGCCTCATTGCCTAAACTCCTCCCTGGCAGTCCATGCCATCTCCAGACTGAGAAACTCACCCCTCATTTTGAGTTGAACTTCATTCTTGGCCCTGGTTATGTTCTCTGGGAATGCATAGAGCAGAGCATCTTTAATCACGTCCCCCTAATTCGGAGTAATCGTCTCCAGCACCTTTGGCTCCGCGATATGGTTCCTCTACTATTTTCTCCTCCCTCCTTTTGAAATTGCATGATATGGATTCCCCAGCCCAGGGTAGGGCCTGCCTGGTACAAACCACTTACAAGATTCAGTCTGAGGAGAACTTTCCAACCCTGATGTGCTGACCATCCTGGCCTTCCTGCTGTGCCGTGGTCTGGGATGTTTGCTTCAGTGCCCCAGCAAGCCCTGGGCCAGGGAACAGGCACTTCTCCTCTCACTTCATTCTCTGGCAGCTACTCTGGTCCTCCTGTAAGGGGCATCATTATTCCATGCACCACTCAGAAAAATCACTGTCAATTAAGTTATGATTGGTGAAGATTAGTTTTCACATCAAGTATAGGTCATCCCTATTCTGAAAAAAAGCATGCCCGCACATAGGATGAAATGTGRTCACACAAGCCACCTTGTGACATGAGGGCTAATGGGAGAAGGCATATCAGGTGTTTAGTGTGGTGTTTGGCACCATACACACTCAGCAAATGATTCTACTTTTATTAAAACCCTGTAGGTGGTGCGTACCTGTAATCCCAGTGGTTTGGGAGGCTGAGGCAGGAGGATGGCAAATTCAAAACCAGCCTTAGCAACTTAGTGAGACCCTGTCTCAAAATAAAATGTAAAAAAGGTCTGGGGATGTAGCTCAGTGGTTAAGCACCCCCAGGTTCACTTCCTAGTACTAAAAGAAAGAAAACCTCTGTAGCAGCTGCCCAGTGCTCCCATGAAGACCCTGTCCACCTCTCCAGCCCTCCATCCCCCACTTCCTTCTGTCTCTGCACTGACTGCAACAGATGGCTCACGGTGGGGTCCTCTTACCTCTTCCTGAAGGGTTCCATCCCCATGAGCCCCCTCTTGTTCATGTCCTCAGATGTTGTTGCCTTTGGAAGGTGTCCCTACTGCCCTCCCTCTGTGCTTCTGCCCACCTCCAACAGGATCCCTACAGCCAGCACATCTGTCAGCCTGCTCATCTGTCTCCTTCCCCAGAACGTGACTCCAWGGACAGGGACACAGTTAATTTATCTTCATGTCTCTCGCTTCTCGCAGTGCCAGAATATGACAGAGGCCTGAGAAATGTTTGCCAAATGAGTGACAGTTTTTCTCATGCTTAATAAAACTTGAATGTGTGTAGTGCTTTATAGTTTAGCAGGTTGCTTTAAGATTTCTTTCCTTATTTTATTAATCTAATCGCTGTTCTTATTTTACAGCCAGAAAAACTGAGTCTCTATTAGGGACACACCTGAGGGCACAGAGCCTGGTTACTGACTAAACTGGAATTGGAACCTGGCTCTGGCCTCTTACCACGTGGGGCTTAATGGGCCCTTCTGGTCAAAGACAGCAAACTGGCAGCCTCTATCATACATGGCTTRGGGACATGCTTAGGCCCACATAATTTTTTTTCCCTCCAAGGTGAATAATTTGTCCAAACATTAAAAAATTAGACATAACACCAATGACTAGCTTAAAAATCTGAGCATCTGGCAACTCTGGGCTTTCATACTCAAAAGAGTAGCAACTGGCATGTGCTCTACTGCTAGGGTCCAATACCCACCCAAGTCTCTGAACTGTCAGCGTGGCCATGGAGCAAGGTTTTTGTCCTGCTCACAGTACCCCTGTAGCACTTAGCTTGATGCTTAKAAGTCACCAATGGTGGGGGGCAGGTGATGAACTACCTGCTGGTGGGCCAGCTTGGCCACACCTCCGGAGAATACCACGTGTTGTTGTCAGTAAACCCGAGGCTTTGGCAGGGACCCCGGTCAGCYCCTGCCTTGGCAGTGTCCTCATTCTAAGTCTGCCCCAGGGTAGGAAGGTAGGAGGTGAATGCAGCCTTTCTCTCTTCCCTAGGACAAGGGGGATGCTGGGGTGAAGGAGCTGGACAGCTTGAACAGTGACCGGCTGAGAACCATCCAGCTCAACGTCTGCAACAATGAGGAGGTTGAGAGAGCAGTGGAGACCGTCCACTCAAGCCTGAAGGACCCTGAGAAAGGTAGGGGCCATTCAGAGGGGGCATGTCCTAAATGTCCTCCTCCATTTGCTGGTATCCTGCCCAAAGTCTCCTTTATTTATTGTTTAAGCTCTTCCTCCTGCTCAGAATAGGAAGTGGATCAAGTTCAACACACCTGTGCAATAGGGCAGTGTGAAATGTGCCAGAGGGCGATTTGGGGAATATACGAGAGCTGGATGGGTATGCACTGGTTTGGGCCAGTTCAGTCAGTTCTCATTGGATGCCCATTCTAGGCCAGGTTCTGGGCTGTGTACTCAGGATGACCCAGGCACAGTCTGTCCCTGAGGACATATAGGACATTGTAGAGGGACTGGTTATGACATCAGGGAGCCGCACACTGAGAGGTAGGATAGCACAGGAAACCAGGATGCATCCAGTCTTGGGAGTTGGGTGGGAATGGGTCAGTGTAACAGAGGGTGGAGAAGGCCAGTCCAGGAGCAGGGAGCATGGACAATGGTGGGCAGCGGCCCAGGATGCTGGGCCCTGGTGAGTGGTCTGGTCCCAGGGTAGAGTCTGGTGGAGGTGATGACAGCAAATGAGGCTGGGGAAGGAGGTCAGCAGGGCCTTGGGTGCTAGGCCAGCAGAGTATGGCTGCCTCCTTAGGACCCTCAGGAGCTATCAAAGGGGTTGTCTGGAGRAGGTGGTCTGGAGGGGTCTGTTTGTGAAACTCACTCTAATGTCACATTGGCAACATGGAGGGTGGTTTGAAGGGGCATGTGGTTCAGAAGTCCTAGGCAGGGTGGTGGGCATTGGAAAAGGAGGGATCAGGCTCAGGAGTGCTGAGAAGGCAAAACTGGAGGGGCCTGATGACTTGGGCATGGGACAAGGGAGACGCAAGAGGTCTCTATCCTACATTCCTGGTGTCCTCAGTTGCAGGAGCAGGTTGAGGTGCGGGAAGACACTGAAGTGCCCATGGGACACTTGAGGGAGTGTCCAGAAGGACTTCTGGGGACTGTGAATATTTAGGGGCCAGGTTTGTTTGAGAGGTTAGATAGAGTGCCCCAAAGCTAAAGGAACAGAAAGTTTTGGGGATCCAATAACCAACAGGGTCAAATACTGCAGAAGGTCCCTRTAGCATAAGCACCCAGGTGTCCCCAAGTGTTTTCCATTTAAGCCACATGGAAGACCTTGATGGGAAGAGCTCTGCTGACCAACTCCAAGGGGCACCATGCATACAGACCAGGGCAGCAATGGCTGGGATACCATTCAGCTGGCAGCTCAGGGCATCTGTGGAAGAGCAGAAGAGTGAGTCTGTGCAGTTGACCTTTGTGTTCTCACAGCCCAGGCAGAAATAGGGTGCCTCATCTAGCTCTCTGCTTTTCTGCACAGTGGGCTGGAGGCAGCTCTCCTAAGCAGTGACTCCATTCCCCGGATKGGGAGGATGGAAGGGGAATGGCCAGCGCCTGTGCTGTGCCTTCTGTGCTGAGCACGGGTGGGTCAGGTGGAAATGCTGTCATCTCTGAGAATCCCACCTGTGCTGTGTGGCTGTCTGTGGACAAGCTGTTGCTTTACAGGTATTTTGTCACTGGTGTCCCCTCAGCAGGCCCAGTGCCACCCCCACCCCCACAACATCCTTTTTTTTTGAGCACTGTTCTCTGAGGAGACGCCTGTGAGTTACTGAACATCTGTTTAATAATTAACAGGCAGAGCCTGCGCTCCTGTCCCATTAAGAAAAGGCAGGATGGGTCCCACTGGGATGATTACCAGCCAAGTGCAGAGCCTGCCTCACCCCAGCAGTGGTAAACTGCTCCACCCTCTCTGCCCCTGCTAGGAGGTGGGAAATTGCCCCCATAAACCATCAGGCAAGAAAACAGCTGCAGTCAGCGCCATAAAGCCACAGCAGTTGCAGCCTGTGAGGCTTGTGGTGATTTAAATTGCTCATGGAAARGAATTGCCAGGGGGGACCTGGTACAGAATGGCCAGGACACTGGGGCAGAGCCACCTCTATTCCCTGTACTGGGTTGGCCAGTTAGACTAGCCCAGCAAGGCAGGGTCCCCCACGCCCCCAGCCACACAATGGGAGGTGCTGTCCTCTGCCCTGGCAACTAGGCTTAAACCCAGCACCCAACACACAGACTTTTCCCTCCTGCCTTTTCCACATGAGGCATTCTGGGGAGGGCTTAATAAACCACTCACCACAGCCTTCCTTAACCCATACTGAAATTTTTGGAAAAGGATCTGAAATCTTTTAGGTCCAAAAGAGAAAATAAATCTGTCAGATATGTGGTTGCATGCCTCCTTCTTTCTCTCCCCTCTTTCTCTTCCTCCCCCTCATTTCTACTCCCCTTCCTCCCTTCTGCCTCTGGTTGGCTTTTTCCTGGTAAGGCAGCACCCATCCCCACTCCTCGGGCAGTGCTGGCTCTGAACTCCAGATGGCGCCCTCCCAGAGTTTTCCACCAGCTCTGGCCACCTCTGATTCACATCCTACCCAGAGAGGAACTTCTCAGAAGAGGTGTCCTTCCCCACCCCTGGATATTGGGGCACATTTTGATGGCAAGTTTGTTGTCTGTCACTCTGGCTCCATAGAACAGTTGCTACCAAAGCCTGGGGAACCAGCCTTGGGGGTTAAGATGAATGGAATTGTCTTGATTAGAGTGGTCCAGCCATCTGCCACCAGCCCCTTTTTTCCCTGGCAAGACTCTAAGGGACTGGACATCTGGAACCTCTGACCACACTCCCTACCCTCATCCTAAGGGAAAGCTGGGACAAAGGATCAGAGGGCAGCCTGTGGGTGTGGTTTGATCTTGGCATCATTACTTACTAGTCAATCAGTAAACATTTACTGAGTACTTGCTGTATACTTGGTAGTGTGCTGAGGAGCAGAAGGCAGCGTGCTGGCAGGATGAACTTGTGGTTGGACACCAGCCAAGTAGCTTCAGAACAAAACCTCTCAAGGGCTGTTATGGCTTTGGGGGTATTATGCTGTGGGCAGGGAGGGCCCTATCCCCCATCCTCATTCTGGAAGTGAGTGGGAAACTGTATTTACCCTGGGCTTTGCCTCTTTTTAATTTTTTAAATTTTTTTAAATTGTTGATAGAATTTTATTATTTTTTATTTATTTATATGTGGTGCTGAGAATTGAACCCAGTGCCTCACACATACCAGGCAAGTGCCCTGGGCTTTGCCTCTTAATTGAAGTGTGACTTGGGTGTGAACCATCACCTGGGTGGGTCTCACCTCCATCTGTGAAGCAGGATGCACTGTGAGCTGCCCCACACTCATGCCCAGATCCGACCACTGCAGGAACACAGATAGAACCTCAACAAAAGCTGTTCTCAGGTTGAGGAGTGGGGAGCCGGACATGTTCAGATCTAGAGAGGCAGAATACACAGGAGGGTGGCTGGGAAAGGCCTTGTATACTGAGTTGCAGGAACTCAACTGGGAACCTTAGGAGCAGGAAGTGACTAATGGGAGGAAGATGGCCTGGCTGAGGGGTCATGGGTAGAGATGAAGGAYAGAGACCAAAACAGGGAGAACTGGGAGGAGCCTTCTCTATAGTACAAGAGTTACTACAGGTGGAAACAAGAAGATAGAACTGATTCTAATGAACACAGCAAAGAAAAACAACGTCGGCATGGGGTTAAGTATAAGGGTTATGTCCCCAGACAGTCCTGAATCCAAATCCCATCTTTCCCACTCGCTAGCTGGGTAACACTGAGCAAGTTGCTTCACCCCCCTAGGCCTCAGTTGCCTCCTCCAGATATGAGAATTGTATGTACTTTATAGGTCAGTTATAAGGATCAGGTGAGTTAATGGGCTGATCAGGTGAGATTAGCAAAGTGCTTACTTAGTTCAGGGCTGTTATTCTGATACTAACATTCCTCAGGGACTCCGTAGGTGGAGGAGAAGTGAAGAAGTAGTCAAAGATGAAAGTGAAGCCATTAACGAAGGGGAGGCGCAGGCTTGGCAGCTTGGGAGTTTGATGTGTTGGTGGTGGCTAGGGTGAGATGGGGATCTGTGGGACCTAGCAGCTGGGGTTTCGGGGAGAGGGCTGACTCCTGAAGGGATGTGGGAACCATGGACATGGAGATGATGTTGGAACTATTCCAGAAAAACAGCTGTCACCCAGACCAGCAGGAATGCTGTGAGTTTATTTAGAGCATTGTCTGAGAGATACCAGGTCAACTACTACCCCTTGTCAAGTCAGCAGAGCTATAATCAAGGAGTAGCATGCTTTCACAGGTCAAGTTTAATTAAGCTTCTTTGGATAGTAGTGTCAGATATAATTGTTTTATTTTCAGGTGGAAAAAGTCAGGTGATATTGTCCCACATGAATCAAACACAAAATCCCTGGAAAATTCCACAAAGTACAAAAGTCTGCCTCATAATTCAGGAGAAGTAGGCCAAGGACTGGACATTGCAGGACACCTCTTTTTGGGGTATCAGGGAGGATGCTAGAGATGCTAGGGTGTCATTAATGCCAAAGGAACAAGTGAGCATTCAGGAGCCATTAGGATTACTCATGTCCTAGATAGGTGGAGGAAACTGAAGGCTAGGGGTCAGGGTCATCAGCACCTGGCCCCTGGAGACTAGAAAGGGAGACCCAGAGAGGGTCAACTGGGCTGGGGCTGGGAACCCAGAGTGGTGTCAGAGGGGATGCAGAGGGCAGAGTTTTCATAGAAGCCTGGCAGTGGAGGGAAGGAGGGCAGACTGTAGGGTTAAAGAAGGTTGTTTAGGATATAAATTAGAGACATGGTATTGTAGATAGTCATTCATCCAACACACATTTATTGAGCACTTTATGTGTACAGTTTTAAAGGGAAGGAGCAGGGAACAAGGAAAAAGCTGAAGCTGTGTAAGACTGATGGTTTCCAGTGTGGCAGTAGGGAGATGAATAGGCCCAAGTGTTGGCCACAATCGCATGGAGAGGCTTCCTGTTCTTCCTGGGGCCTGGGAAGAGGCAGGGGTGGGGGACAGGGAGAAGGTGGGAGCTGTGGGTTGCAGGAATGATTTTTATGTCAGTAGGTAGGCTTCAAGGTCAGGAGGTCAAGGTCGAGGTCAAGGTCACGAAGGGTGCTGAGAGGGGAGGCCCCAGTGGCAGGCAGCCATGGAGAGTGGAATAGCTCCTCACAGAGGCTTTGTTAACTAGTAATTTCCTTTCCTTAATAAATGTCCTTAATTCTCCATAATTGAAGGAGAAGGCGCCAGAGGTCAGTAGATGAAGCTTTCATTTGGGGACTATGGAAGGAAAGCAGCTAGAGAGTAATTACTCTGTCATTTACACAAGCTTATTTCCCTGATGAACTGAGAAAGCCAGGCCAGGCCCAGTTCCCACAGGGGACAGGGGAGCTCAGTGCTGAAACTGTGCCTTGAGAAAAACTCAGGACTTTCAGCTGGACAGTGAACCCCAGGAGACAAGCTCTGAGAATTTCCACAACAGAGAGTCTGGGCCTGACTCTGTCCTAAGGCCCCAGTCTAGGCAGCCCTTATTGTTGGGAGCCGGATACCGCACCCTGAATATGGCGCTGGTCTCTGCTTCCGCTTCGTTAGCAGTTAGAGTTGTTAGAAGTAAACAACTCCTTGTAAGGCTGTGGGGCTGGGCTCTGGCCTGCTTCCGCTGCGCTGTACCTACTAGACTCCTCCACGTGGTGCTAGTTCATTGGCGGGGCTGGGTACTTAAGCTAGGGCAGACCGACCACTCTCTCTCTGGTTCCTGTTTTCTCATCATGATTCAAAGGTCCTGAGTAAACTGCTGAAAGAAGAATCCTGTGTCGTGTTTCCCTTGCCGGCGAGGGGTCGCGACACCTTATGCCCCCAAAACTAAACCCCAAGAAGGTCCTCAAAACAAGGCTCTCTAATGCCTGTAGCCCCCAGTTCAGGTCCGGCTCTGCCTCAGCTTCCTGATTAAACTTACATCTGTCCCTTCTCCTCAAGGCCTCAGTGTCCCTAGCTGATTAGTTAGGAAACTAAATAAACTACAAGAACTCTCTAGGACCAGTATTCTCTAAGTTCACAAAAGTCAGCCGTCTTTTGTTAGACTTGCAGGAATCAGTCAACCCAAGTACACCATGACAGTGTGTATGCTCTTAGCCCCAGGGTGTCGCTCATGCTAAGGAAAYGGTCTCTGCTAGCAAAGAGCACAGGGAAACACAGGGGATATTAGTGAACTGAGTCATGGGGCCGTGACATCTAACAACCAACAGTGTCATGGTTCAGAGGAGGAAGATGAGAATGGAGTCATTGTTAGGAGGGTCTCAAGAGCACTGGGCCTGACCCAGCATGGCTTGGCTGAGCCCCTAACTTATTGTGTCTTGAAGGTTGGGCCCCTTGATGGTTCTCCAGAGGACGCTTGGTCTGGAAGATTTTCAAGTTTCCTTGGCTTCTGGAAAGAGGGAAGATAGAAATGAGAGCTCAGAGGCAGGAAGGAAAAAATAGGTGCAGGGTGTGATGATGAAATGAGTGGCATAGAGTGGAGGTGAGGTGAGGCACAGGTGAGGGAGCCCTGGCAGGGCTGGGTTATAATGGCCTCCGAGGATTGATTCAGGYAGAGGTGACCAGAGGCCTGGATGCTCCAGACTGAAGGTCATTCCAGACATCCAGGACTTCAGATTGGTCTAACTCCTGTCCTTCTTGGGTGACTCTAGAAGTTTCCTGAGAGCTTTGGGAAAGAGGCCAGGAAGATGGGGAAAAGAGACAACAGTTGGGGGCAGAGTGGACTGAAGGTAATGGTTGATGTCTGAGGCTTTTCCTACATAGTGACCAAGTTCTGTCCTTTCCTGTCCAGGGATGTGGGGGCTGGTTAACAATGCGGGCATCTCGACATTTGGGGAGGTGGAGTTCACCAGCATGGAGACCTACAAGGAGGTGGCAGAAGTAAACCTCTGGGGCACGGTGCGGACAACGAAATCCTTCCTTCCCCTCCTTCGAAGAGCCAAAGGTGAGTAGAAGATAGCCCCTGCCTGACCCTGGACCTGCCATAATGAAAGACCTATCCTGCCAGAGGCAATGTCCATACTAGCAAGGCTGAGCTCCTGACTCCTGGGGCCATGCTGGGCCCACAGGTGGTGGCAGGCAGGGATATGTGGCTTTCAGGAAGTAGAGCAGGTGATAGGTCAGAAGTCTATGCATCCAGGTATAGCAGGATCYGGCCACTCTTGGACTCTGTGCGCAGGCTGCATATAGACATCATTGTATCATTGCATGCAGTTAAATAAATGTTAGTGTATCCATTCTGTGGGTTGTTACACCAAAGCAAAAAATGAGACAGTTGTAGTATTAAATTTAAAAATAGTAATAATCAAGATTAGAAATTTGGAAAATAGACAAAATATCCAAACCATATTGGATAGCTGAATATAAGCAAACCACGCAAGGGTCCCTGGTTCTGATTTTCCCCCTGGCATAGCAAACAATTGAGGTAAGACCCACAGATCTATCCCAAAGCCCCAGCAACAGCAGGAATGAACACAGGGGTAGCCRTAGGTTTTAAAAGGAAACCCAAACTCTTCCATGACTTAGAGCTTAAGAGGTTTCTGCAAGGTGCCCAGGACAGACTGTGTGAGCCTTTTTGGGTGTGCTCCCAGGGCTGAGAGGGGATGTGGAAGGTCCCTGTYACCCCCAAGGCTGGGCCTGTGGCAGAGACTTTTCAAAGTCACCACTTTTCTAGTGCCCAAGACTCTGCCTTCATGTCATCAGCATGGGAATCCCTGCCCATGCCCCAGCCTGCTTCTCTTTGACTATCTTGGGCTCCATCCAGTGAGGAGTTGGAGAGTGGAGAACCCCAGCACCTTCTCTGAGCCCCAGGGCTTTCCGTATCAGTGCCAGCCTCAGCTSTAGGTGATCTACCATCTACATTTCTGCATTCATCTTTCGTGTTGCCGCAGGTCAACACATACTTAGCAAGTCACTTATCTGCACATCTTACTGGGTGAGCTGAATTTTAAGCTCCGTGAGGGTAAGGAGGAAGCTTTAGGCTGCCCAGCATCAGCCCTTGCCTGAAGAGAGCACACAGATCCACATGGGTACCACTCTCCCACCTCCCATGTTCTGCCATTGCTTTTATCCCCAAGGTATAGTCACCAGGCTGAGCTCAGTCTGATTTTGAGTTAGTTGTGTGTTGTCCATTATGCTGTGCCCTCCTGGTATGCAGGCCTGCTTCTCGCTCATTTCTCCTTCCCTGTCCTGCCTGGCCCAGCTGGGCTGCCAGGGAAGATYAGGGATGCTCACATTGATGGGTGGCCCAAGCTGGCCCTGGCTACCAAAAGAAAAGGTCCCCTGACCCTGGGTGGTTCAGAAGCAATTCCAGTCAGGCCTCTGCATTGCAGGGCAGYGCCACCTGAGCAGGTGTTTGTTGTCTCTCTCTGTAGGCCGTGTCGTCAACATCAGCAGCATGCTGGGCCGCATGGCCAACCCCGCCCGCTCCCCATACTGCATCACCAAGTTTGGGGTGGAGGCTTTCTCTGACTGCCTGCGCTATGAGATGTACCCGCTGGGTGTGAAGGTCAGTGTGGTGGAACCTGGCAACTTCATCGCTGCCACCAGCCTCTATAGCCCCGAGCGCATCCAGGCCATTGCCAAGAAGATGTGGGACGAGCTCCCTGAGGTTGTCCGCAAGGACTATGGCAGGAAGTACTTCGATGAGAAGATCGCCAAGATGGAGACCTACTGCAACAGCGGCTCCACAGACACATCCTCCGTCATTGATGCTGTCACACATGCCCTGACAGCCACCTCCCCCTACACCCGCTACCACCCCATGGACTACTATTGGTGGCTGCGAATGCAGATCATGACCCACTTGCCGGGTGCTGTYTCTGACAGGATCTATATACACTGAAGAGTGACCTTTTGGGGAGCCCTAGAGGGAGGGAAGAGAATGGGGGAGGGAACTCATATAGTCACCTTTTGATTAACCACTTGTGGATTATCTCATGTCCTAGGAGGCCCCATTTTAGCATTAACCAGAGGGGATAACTCAGCCTGACATGTTGATGTGGTGAGTAGCTCAGGCCTTCACATATGGGATGGGGTGGGGGGCCCAACTAAGCCTCAGGGCAAACATGGTGTATCTATCTAAAGTTTATTTCATACAAAGATTTTTGGAGAAATGTCTTTATATTAAAAACAGATTTATTCTAGAATAGAATCCAGGTTCCTTTACATTTTAAGCCAAAAACATCAGTTCAAAAAAATTTGATCCTTAAACCTGCTTCATGAGTAAAGAAGGACGGATTTTTTTTCTTCTGTACAAATAATCTGTAGCTCTGAGAGAACACATGAATTAACCCTTTTATTGCTTAGGAGTGGCCCATGTTTTGTTTTTCTGCCACAGATGTACAAACCCTTCCCATTTGCATTCCGGAGCCACTTTGGATCCCTTTATCCAGGAATCCTCTGGCACCTCTGTCTTCGCCTGAGCTTTGCATACCAAGTGCCCACTGTATACCTCTTTGCACATCCATGGTGCTATATGACCAGCAGGCAGCCAGTGATTGACAGTAGGCTGTATGGTAGGGGTATGGATCATTCTGGAGATTTCCATTTGAGATTTCTCCACTGTCTTTGAGGACTTGGTCTAGACTTGTGTGGAAGTGCTCCATAGTTGAGGGAAGTTTGTTGGTAACCTTGGTTTTACCTGCAGTGGGACTGGTACTGACTGGGGTTGCAGATGGAGCATCAGTGCCAAGGCCAGTACTGTGGCACCTTCTTCCAGTGGCGGTCTGGGTGCCTGTCTGTGTGGTACACACACACACACACAATCACACACTCACACATGTGTACTCACACATGTTCATTGATGGCTTGTTTTTCCGCTATGGTTATACTTCTCAAGTTTGTGTTTGAAGCCTACCATCCCTACAATTGAGCAGGACCTGGATGTTTGGACCCAAACAGGGACCACCATCTTCCAGGTGACTGCAAGCCTCTGGGAGGTCCTGAGTGCCAACTTTGAAAATCAAATTAAACTAGCATTTTCCGCCTCTCCCAGGAAGAGCTAGGCCTGCCGCTAGAGGGAGCCCAACTCCTCTGCAGCTAAGCCCCAACTCTGAACTTCCATGCAAGCCTGAGGTCTCTCAAAGGGTGTGTGATTCCCACCTGGGAGATTGCCTGGGGGAAAAAAAAGCAAGGCCCCTTTAGAAACAGTATTCCTGCCCTYTTAGCAGCTGCCTGGCTTGACCCTGGAGCATGGTGCCAGGAGAAAGCAGGGGTCTCCTAGCAGCTGGAACAGGCCATGGGCACAGAGAGTGCCAAGGCAGGGTGGCTCACAAAGAGCAGATTCAGCTGGCCTGGTGGGCCTTTGTCCCCTTGTCTTCAACAGGGATGCTCTGTCTTAGCTCCTGACTGCAGGGTGAGATAGAGAGGGCCTAGGGGGCAGGAGGGAGGCAGGGCCTCCAGAGCCCAGAGTGGACCCTTGATAACCATTGTATTTACATATCAATGAGATGCTTTTTTTTGTACCACYGAGCTGGCCTCCAGCAGAGGCTTTCAAAATCACACTGTACATATTGGGAGGATTTGTTTTCATGCTTAATAAAGGAAAATGGATTGATGCCTGGAGTTACACATGTGCATTCACCCCTGGGAACTAGAGGGAGGTAGGGATGGCCACATGCTTTGAGTCCTGATCAGCAGTCAACAGAACTCTGGAGAAGCCACGTCTGTCTGTCAGGGTCTTCAGTCATAAGCAGGATTGCTGGGTTGGCTCACAGCCTGTTCTGGTTTTTAATTTGTATCCCAGTGATTAAAAAGTCCAGGGTACCTTCCCTCCAATCTCAGTGCTAATTAAAATTTCCTATTTTCCGTTCACCTTCTGGCAGCTTAGAACCTAGCAGGATCTAGTTTTGACCTTTACAAGAGATAAGTGGGGAGGGCAGAACAGGTTATTCCCATTTCATAAGTGACATAACTGAGACCCAAAGAGGGAAAGTGACTCACCTATCATCACAGTGGGTTGGGACAAAACGAGGTCAAAACAAGTCTTCTGAGTGGTGCTGTTCACCGTCATTGCACACAGTGGCATGCACAGCTGGGAGAGCTGAACTGGTTAGGGTCTCTGAGCAACTAGAACCTCGGGGCTTGTGTGCCCACAGAGGGCTACCACTTCTTATTGGGGTGGGGACTTTCCAGTCTCACTGTCCAGTCCTGCTGGGAACAAATGATGTCCTCAGGCCCTGCCTTTGGTAGAAACTGCATCTCCAATATCCTCRCCTTAGAAAGGTCACCTGCTCAGTGAGGCCTGGGGACCCATGCCCTGAGTCCTGCAGCTCCATGCCAGGGCMTCGTGAAGTATATGCCCATCTCTGAAGTAGGAGGTACTAGTCAGCAGCTATCCTATACTAGGCCCTGTGCCACGTTCCAGACTGAATTGCATGTCCCCTCTCCCAGATTCATATGTTGAAGCCCTAGCCCCACATGTGACTATTTGGAGTTAGGCCTTTTCAGAAGTAGTTAAGGACAAATGAAGTTGGAAGGGTAGAGTCCTAATCCAATAGGACCATCAATAGGAAGAATTGGGGCCTAATAASAAAAGGAAGACAGACTCTCTCTCCAAGCCTCTCAGACTTTCCATAAGTGTGTGAAAATAAATTTGTGTTTAAGGCCAGTCCTTGGCATTTTGTTATAACTGCTCATGCTGACTGATGCAGCCAGGAACCAAGTATTCATTCATTATCTTATTTTTCYTCCTTAGGACCTGTGAAGACAGAGGACCTAGCAGCTCCTGCTGGTCCTTGCCCCTGCTAATCTTGTCTGCCATCCTCTGTAGTGTGACTTTGAGCCTCAGTTGGTGGTGCAGGAATGAGGAGAGGACATTGCAGACAAAGTCTAGAGCTGTGGGGTGGGGCTTCAGGCTAGTCTCAGCCTGTACACAGGACCTCTGCTGGGACCTAGGGTCTGTGCTGCAGCCATCATGAACCCTCCTCTGTTGGCTAGAGGCTGAAAATAACTTTTTGCAAGATGTTCCGGACAGTGCCTTATAACTGAGTGCATGTGAGGTTGTATGAGCAGGTGACAGACTGGCCTGATGCTGCCTATGTGGCTGGGCCACACCTTTGCCACCCATGGAAGACAGTCTGCCAAAGACTCCCGACTTGTAAAGTCTATTCACTTTCTGTATTTCAAACAGCCTAGTCTGGTACAGGTACCACGTGAGGCTCCCAGGCTTGGGCAGCTAGATAGCAACCAGGCTCATGTGTGCAGTGCTGGGCGCGTCACCCAGTCAGTTCGCTGCCTCTTCTCACCTGATGCTCACAGTGCCCTGGCAAGCAGGCAGGGTGGGATCACAGGCTCATTTCACAGATAAGGGAACAGGCTTTCCCAAGTCTCTCAGCACAGGAGTGATACAGCCCGTGGCCAAGCCAGATCTGTCTAACCTCCAGCCCAGAGCTAGTGATGCATGAAAAGCCAGGCAGATGGTACCAGGATCTAAAATAAGGAGGGGAAAAAATACCTCAATTATGTAACAGAGGAATCTTTAAGCCTATGCACAGTAACAACCACAGAGTACGACCACGCGGGCCAGCTCCTTCTTCCCTGCCCCCTTTGGGCCCTGAGTGCAGCTTCCTGGGAGACCGTGTGCCAGAGGAGCCCACCAAGACAATCTGCCTTGGCTGAGCTAAAACTGTTCTCAAAGGGGCTTCTGAAGGCAGCCCTAGGAATACCAAAAGCCCTATCTGGGAGCTGCCCTCAAAGGGCTCAAGGGCCACAGGAGCAGAGCCTGAGACCTGCAGTGGTTGGTTCTTTTCAAAGAGCTGCACAACTCTCTGGGGCACTGATGGAGGCGAAATAGCCCAGGGCATGAGGGGCTTCTCCAGTGTGTGCAGGCACCCAGGAACAATGATTTGTGAATGGTAATTTCAGAAGCACAGARTGAGGAACTGTTGGTCCCAGAACTAGGGACTAGGGCCAGGGTCAAGGGCTAAGAGAGGTGGCTGTGACCCTCACAACCTCAGAGAATCAAAAGGGACCCGGCCATCATTAAGCCTGACTCCCAGCCTCCTGGATGAGGAGCCTGCGGGGCTTGAGGCCCTCCAGTGACAAGTGGCTCATTACTTCCTGAGAAAGCATTTCCTTGATTCAGAAAAATGTATCCAAAGACCAAGGCCAAATCTACTCAACTAACTTAACCCCTTTGACACCTGGCTCTGACTCAGACCTCCAGAGAACAATGTAAATCTTCTCAAAGAGCTCTCTGAATATTTGGAAATGACTATCATGCTCAAGAACCTTATTTGACAAGCTTTCCATACACCCTACTACCCAAACAGAAGATATCAGCTATAGTTATTCCACCCTCCTCCTGTGTTCTTGATGACACAGGAAGTTCTTGTCCCGTTAGCAGCCCAGACCTTGGAGACAGGTTTTAATGCTGACAACTCCTCACATGCATGTAACCAATTAAATGGATGCATTGGCACAGATCTTTCATTCCATTATAAGTAGTTTAGGATTTAGGCAGGATCATTATTCCTATTTTACAGATAAGGAAACTGAGCCTCAGGAAGATGAAATGATTAACCTGAGATTACAGAGCCAGAAAAAGGGAAAACCAAGACATAAACCTGTCCTTTTGGTTTCTATCTCTAGGGCCCCAGTAATSGTTTGGATGTGAGGTGTCCCCCAAAAGTTCCTGTTCAGAGGTGAAATGATTGAATTATGAGAGCTGAAACCTAATCAGTTCATCCTAGTTTGAGTGGACTGATGGGGTGGTGACTGTAGGCAGTGTGAAGCATGGTTGGAGGAGGTAGGTCTCTAGAGGCTGCCTTAGAAGGATTCAACTTCCCTGTGGCCCCTCCCTCTGCTTCCTGGCCATCATGAGCAGAGCATGAGCTGGTGCTCCTCCACCATGTCCTTCTGYCACGACGTCTGCCTCACTTGGGCCCAGAGCAATGGAGTCAGCGTACTATGTTCTAAACCTCTGAAGCATGAGCCCAAATAAACTTTTCCTCCGCTGAATTGTTCTTGTCAGTTACTTTGATCATAGCAAAGCAGAGCTGACTAACATAGATAGACCCCTTCCAGTACCCCTGGGTTGCCTCAGTCTCCCCAAGAGCTGGGTTGGACTCAGCTCGGTGAAGGAGCATTGGGGTGAGAGGATGAAGAACAACTCCCTTCTCAGTACTGCAGAGCGTCCTGTGAAAGAGAGGCCCAGGGCTGGAGTTGTGGCTCTGTGGTTAGAGGGCTTGCCTAGCTCATGTGAGGCACTGGGTTCAGTCCCCAGCACCACATTAAAAAATAAACAAAATAAAGGTACTGTGTCCATCTACAACTAAACATATTAAGAGAGAGAGAGAGAGAGAGAGAGAGAGAGAGAGAGAGAGAGAGAGAGAGGCCCAGCCTTTCCTGTCTCTCAAGGCACAAGTGTCGGCAGCATCTGTGGGATCGCCCAGTGGCCTCAATCCTGATGGAGGACCTTAGAGTGGGAACAGCGGGGGAAAGAAGCATTCCCAGGACTGAGCTGGGGACCACCTGCCTCCCCATCTACAGAGCTGAGTCGGAGAGGGGTGTGAACAGGACAAAGCTCGGGAGACGTCAGGGCCCAGAAATACCTTGTGCTGCTCTCAGTGAGAATTACTCTCTCACATGTCAGGCTACTCTCACTTATCAAATTATAGGTGAACTTAATTACAGCTCATAGTCACCACACTGGGCTCTTCAGAAATAGCAGCAAGCGGACCGTGCAGCTTTAGCTGTAGCCATCTCCATTTTTGGATGAATTTCCCATTGTTTCCAGGGTTTCCAAGGGCAGCTGGACTCCGATATTAGGCAACAAGGGTGGGCATGGGCTGCACTGAGCACTCTCCTGTACTGACCACCACCTTGCCGGCCACTCAGCCAGGGAGGGCTGTGCTGAGCCAAAGGCTGAGTATTCTATATATTGGGTGGGTCACCATGCTGAGGTCTCTCCCCTGCTTACCTTGTGTTGTACACTAAAGTCTTGGTTCATTCGGTCTGACCAAAGGTGCACAAAACGTGGTGCAGGACTTGCCAAAAGTCACAAAGAGCAAGCAAGGTGCTGGATGAGAAAACAGGCCTCATGGAGACACAAGGTCACCTTCAAAAAAACAGGATAAAGAGCAGCAGGCCCCTAGGGACTGGTGAAAGTTCAGTGACATCAGGAAGGGCATTGTAAACTTCCCTGTAGGCAGGTAGGATTGACAGACTCTTGTACCTGCGGAAGAAACTGACGAGAGGCACAGGGTGAGTTTAAGGGCTTTGATGGGAACAGAGAAGCAATGGCTAAAGGGAATGCAGATGCCATTAATGAGCTTATATCTAGAGGTGCAGCCCACTCATCACAGCCCTGCCCCCTACCCTGCACCTTGGATTATTTGAGTCTCTGTTTTGTGCCAGGCCTTGGGTTGGGCTTAGGGCAGGGGTACAACAGCAGGCTATGCACTGGCTTCCCAGAGCTCACCATCAAGCCCAGTGTAACCCAGGGTAAAGTGCCATGATTTTGAGGAGGAAGTGAAAGTCTTTATTCTATCAACTATGAGTGGAAAATGTAGTTATTATCAATCTACACACTGCCTTCTCTGTCTTCTTCCCTGC